TTACGGTTTTACGGTTTTACGGTTTACGTTATTTACGGCAAATAATACGGCACATGCCGTAACCGTATTATTTCTGTCTGGGAATTCCGACGACAAGTATAGTTCAAATTGCTTTGGGAAAATGAACTTTTTCAAGAAGAAAAATTTCAAGTGAATGAAGATACATGGAAAGTGGAGTGCATCTCTTGTATAGTGTCCTTTTTATTTTTCAACATTAAAAAGGTGCACAGGATTTGGTAAATATTATATGCTTATATGTAACAGTAATAAGTTCAACAAATTCTGTTTCTGATAAAAAAGTAAAAAATTAAGTAAAATTTATTATACAGTCATTTATTAATATTAAAAAAAATTTTTATCTTGTGATGGCTTTTTTCTTTAATAGGAATGGTAAGAAATCTCAAGCTATGTCAAAAAGAAATAATAAAAATAGTAACATAATTAAATTCCCAGATGTGTTTTTTCATGTTTATAACAAACAACATGATTACAATCTGGAATTTTTTTATGGGGAATTGAGTTATGGACCGTACAACACATCATCCAGGCCAGGGTTGGCAAATGTGCAGTCCATTGATGGTCTATTGGTGGTCCATTGGGTCCATTAGTGTAACACTTTGACCATATTTAGTATTTTATTAATTGCAATGGACCATCCAAAATCCATCTGTTCTCAATGGACCAGTCAATTTGCCAACCCTGATCCAGGCAGATAAGACATGCTAATGAAGACAATCTGAGGCTCTCAAAGTTCGGTAAAGATGCATATGATCACATTTATCATTTTTGCAAATGCATGGACAAAAATTATGAAGCAGCACCACTGTTAAAAAATTTGGGAATTTTACTAATGCAATTGGATAGTAAGTATTAATATAATTTTTTCAAAAAAATAAAATATCATTTGTAATAATTTTATTTGATCTTAAAAGTGCATTTTTATGTTAAGCATTAATATTAACATTATTTTTTTTTTTACAGGAACAGATATATCGTTTTTTTTATTAGAAAAAAATACGCCTCCATTTTACAAATTTTCATGCTTAGATAAAATAGCAATACCGATAAAAAAAATGGATAATTTTCATGACAACAAAAAAAGGATGATAGACTTTATTAGTGTTCTCTACAGCATCAATACAATTTTAGTAGAAAATGTTAAAATATTGAACAAAATAAATTGTATTACGGAATCAAATAATCAATCGGCGTTGACATCATCTTCAACACCAAAGCATTATTCTGATAAAGTAATACCAACCATTATTACACCATAACTGTTTTTATTTATATTTTTTTAAAAAAATAATTTGTTGCGTTATTAATAAAATATCTATCCACAAAGTTAATATATATGTTTTTTTACATCTCGGATAATTTTTCTCAAATTATTTGAATATTATCAATTTCTCCAATTCTTTTTATCAAATCTATTTTTAGCTTCTTTAATCTTTAAAAGATAGTGTACTCACTATATTATTCTAAGTTAGGCAATAAATTATTTCTCTAATGATTTTCTTTTCTTTCTAGGTTCCTTTACCGGTTATGATTTTTCTTTCTTGGTAAATTTCATAGGTAGTCTTTTCTTTTTTTAGATAAGTTTCAAGTGTCTGAGTATCATTTATTTTGAAAATAAGAAGCAATTTTTTCACTTTGTTTAATATAAGAGACGAAGTGAGTTTTTGATATACACTCCCTGGACAAAAGTATCCGGACACCTGTTTTTACTAATTATACAAAAACACGCATAATAACTACACATAA